CCCCACACCTGCAGCATATCCATTTGTGATTGTTCCAACACCAGAAGTTGTACCCTAATGTTCCTCCAGCATTCTCATGCATTGCAGATCCCTCCTTATTCACACAACTGAGGAAGTTTCAATTTTTAGCTGGGGTGATTTTTTTTTTTTTTTTTTAATTTCCAGAAGTGGAAAGTTTGTAACCTCTTTCTCCTTTGATTTTTTGCAGGGAATGCCTGGGTTCAGCACTGCCCAGAAGCTTGATAAGTTGGGAATGAGGGGATCAAATACTTGTGAACTGATCTTTGAAGACTGTAAGATTCCTGGTAAGTGACTGAGAGTTGAGCAGAGCTGTTTACTTTCTCCACATGGTGTTTTTCTCTCTTCTCACGCATATATATCACAAATCATTCATGTGTATAAAAAATGGTGAGTAAAGGCTTTTCCACATATTTGGCTCTTCAGTGGCCATCTTACAGACAAGGTGGTGAGACTAGAGGTTTACTCTTGCACATGAAAGTGAACAAACATAGGTCCTCTGATTTAAATCTGACACTTCTTTCTACCCTTGGGGTTGGACTACACTAGATATTACACTTAAGCACTGGCTTTATAAAGCTTGGAAAAAATCAGAAAAAAATGTTGATTTGCCTGTTTTCACAGGAGTTCTCTGTCCAAGTCATGGGAACAGGATTTGAAGAAACCTCCTAGTTGGTCACTGAGTTTCTGTTTTCCAGATTCTGTAGTTGAAGGTTGTGGCCACTGACTTGGATGCCATTCTCATTCAAATCTATGGCCACGTTTGCTCGTGGAAATAAAATTATAATCGCTCAACAATAAGCAGAGGAGATTATGTTGATTTCTGTAACTTCTAATTCCACGTCTGCAGAATGAGCAAATCCTTAGCTCCCCATACACCATGAAAACTGCTTTGCACTGAGGCTAGGTATATTGTCACTTTACAGGACTTTGAGACTGACTGAGATCCTTAAGTTCAATGTTTTTGGATTTTTTTAACCAGAATCCCAGTCTGGGGTCAGAAAAGCTAGTGAGATAGAAGACTGAGTCTTCCAGCTGTCCCCTGGGAGCTCTGATGCACGCAGAGCACAGTGTTCTCATGGCAACAGGATTCCCAGTCTCTGATAACTCACTGAACCACATCACTGTAGTGCTGAAACCTTATACTGTTTGCATGTGAGCTTTTCTACTGCTGCTTCTGATCTCCTACCTTGGAGTCTGAGTCAGTTCAATACCTTTTCATCTATCTGCAAAATCTTTTTCTTGCAGATCAATATGTCCTCTAGCTCTACATTCCCATCTATTTTAAAGTACATGGGTTTCGTTGCCAGGAGTGCTGCACTGTGTGGACTGTGTGTTTCTTGATAGTAAGTGCTCTCTCTGGAACCATGTTCTTAGGTCATGTGGTGCTGGTAAGGAACCAGTTCAGAGCGCTTTCTGTTTTCTGCCCTAAGGCACAGCCGGTAGGGCTGCCCCCCTGCGCACCGAGTGTCTGTATCCTTCAGCTCATTGCATACCCATTCATTCCTTTTCTCTATCTGCATAGATTGGAGAATTTGTGTTAGTGCAGTCCCTGAAGCAAATGCCTGAGCCTTCCTGTAGCTATGATACTCCACTATTTGTGAGCAATTTTATCTTGCTGTCTTATCGATAATGATGTTTCTGTTCTCTATAAAACCTGTTTTACAATGGTTGCTCTTAGTATGTTTCCTTTCCCTGAATTTTCAGCTATTTCCCCAAAGATCCAAGTTCCTCTGTGCTTTTCCCCCTTAAGGTCTGCCATCATAGAAAAGTAGGGCTGAAAGGGACTCCCAGAGGTCATTTAGTTCAACCCCCTGCCTGAGGCAGGATCATCCCTGTCCAAACCGTCCTAAACTCTAATAAGATGACTGTCAACCCTGACACAACACATGCCTAGTTTCTTAGCCTGCTACAGGTAAAGCATGGGAACCATGGCTGCCAATGTCCTATGCTCAAGAAATCCTGGGTAGATGGCCATGCCTCCCACTACAGAACAAGGCAAAAAACCCCACAGTCCATACCAATCTGACCATGAGGTAAAATTCCTTCCTGTCTCCAAGTATGGCGATTTGCCTGACCCTGAGCAGAGGGGCCCAAACCCTCTAGCCAGGAACCTCTGACTTTGGTCCCAGGAGGAGCACTGGCACCAGTGTGACCTGATGGAGGGGAGTTAGCTGCAGTTCTCCTTAGGGCCCATCAGCCCAGCTCCTGAATGAGCTGGAGATAGGGCAGTCCTTCAACTCCTGTCCCAGATTATTTGCTTCAGAGAGTACAAATTTATCTGCTGTCTAGAATTCTGTCTGGAACTAGTTTTCAGCTTGAATATCTCACAACTGTATTGTTGTGGAATGGAAGCCTGAAAGGCACATCAGTCTCCATGTACTTAAGATGACAGCATTCCCAGTGGGCAATATTCTTCCTTCACCCCAGGCGTGGTTTGTAAGGCCTCCAGCTCTCTCATTATTACCATGGTACAGTCTCACTGAGGGAGGTTTCTCTTCTGTTTCTCCCTCCTCATTGCACATTCTTTAGATCTTCCAAAGAGTACCTGGGTTCTTTAGTTCTCTCTTTCACCTGCTGCCTTGTGTGTGATTTGTCTTTCATCTCTAACACAGGCTTTTAAAAGACTTTAACATTTGCAGAGATTGTGGAAAGCCGCTGGATTGCCAGCCCTGCAGAGGGAATGTGGCTAAGGGTTATGCAAGTTTTCCAGTAGTGTCCTGCCAGTGTATCCAAACCTGACGCATAGGGAATGAAGAGACTTCTGGCTCACTATACATTCAGTCCTTATTGTCTGTTAGGAATGCCCATTATGGAAATATACTTATTATCAGAGACTATATGCCCAGTACAGAAATGTACTTATCAGAGACTAAGTCTCATTTGTTTCATGTAGTAGACCACGTAGTAGACATCAACTGGGAATGCCTTTCAGTTACTGTCAACTTGGGCAAGAGCTGAGGTAGCGATTTAGGAATGAAGAAGTTTCATAGTTCTTCAGTCTTCCATTCCTTTAGATTGTCTTTGCTTAGTTTTGTGGATCTGTAGACAGTACTTATCCACTTCTCATTCTCTACAGGGTAGCACCAACTGCTAATACACCTCATATGACTCTACTACCTTGTTTTTAGCATTGGTCAGAAAGAATAGGGAGCTGTGTGTGTATTATGTAAAACTTCAAAGAATGCCTGTTCTGCTCCTACTGCTTGTGTCCCATAGCAAGAAGTGAATACTACTACAGCAGTGGTTTTCAAACTTTTTTTCATTTGCAGACCCCTTTAGAAATATTGAATGAAGGTGCTGCATACCCCTTTGAATTGTATACGTGAGTATTCACGTACTTTTGACTGATCATAGTCATCTTTTGTGGACCCTTGGACACAGCTTGTAGACTCCTAGGGGTCCATGGACCACAGTTTGAAAGCCGTTGTACTAGAGGCCTGAATCTTCTCCCTAGAGAACGTAGATGTATAGATGACCACTTGTCTTCAAAGAGTTCTGCTTATAGATAAATAACTGGCTCTTGCTTTTTGCAGCTGAGAACATCTTGGGACAGCTGAGTAAAGGAGTCTACGTTTTGATGAGTGGCTTGGATCTGGAGAGACTTGTACTGAGTGGTGGACCGCTGGGGTAAACGCTGTTTTGTTTTTATGCTAGTTATAGATTCAGAGATTCTGAAACCAGATGGGACTATTAAAACTAATTTTGTATGATCTCCTATATAATAGTGGTCATAGGACTTCCCTGATATAATTGTAGTCTGAGCTAGGACAAATCTTCTGGAAAAAACATTGTCTTGATTTTAAAAGTTTCTGTTGATGGAGATTGAACCTCTGTCCTTGGTAAATTACTCATGTGTCTCTTTAATGTATGCTCCTTTGCTTGATGTAACTAGTGATCCCAATCCACATCGCTGATTCTTTGCAATATACAGTGCCCTTCGGAGGAAAAGAGCATCTGATTGATAGAAGGATTAACTCTTTATTAGTCAGTGATTAGGTACTTACTCATCCTTTACCTTGCCTCCCTTATGCCCTCTCTGAGATCTCTACTGACCCTTTTGTGGGAAGACTGCTTCCAAGAAGAAGAGTTCGTTTGGACTCATTCACTTTTATGTTTCTGTATGGTACTCAGCCAATGAGATTTGACCTGGTCTTTTGCTGAGAAGCAAAGTAGTTCAGTATAACCTGAGCTAAAGCTGTAATCTTCCAGCTCCACCCCCTGCATTAAGCAAGATGAAACTTTACAACAACATGCACTAGCAGACAGTGTTGTCTGTTGCTTAGAACACAAGATTCTAGGAATAAAATTTAGGTTCTGCTTCTATGCCATGTATAGCCTCTGGAAAGTTTCATAACCCTTCAGTGTCTCCTTTCCACCTATCTGTAAGTGGATTTCTGGTAAGGTATTAATATAGAGAATCTCTGAAAGGAAGAACAGTATTATAACTAACCCTGTCTTAGACTACTAAGACAACATCTGGAATACCCCAAGTACCTTGCTGCACCAGTTTTTCTAAAGCCTTTTCCATAAAAGGAGTTTCTCTTTGTCATGAAAGCCGCAGCTATTTCTAAACAAGAGTCCAGCCCACACTGATGCAGAACATTACTTAAAACCAAGCTGCTGTTTACTATGCAGCATATTAGCCCAGTTTTCTATTGCAAGGACCCCTGAATTGGCACTGGGCCCCTCAGCTGTCTAAATCCCCTGATTCAGTACAGTCACTGTTGATTGTTTATTACTTATCATTATATTGTATGCACGACAATATGCTATGCCTGGAGATTACATCTGTGATGTGCTGCAAACTCTTAGATTGAAAATGCAGGATTGCAGGGGATGAAAAACTTTAACATCTGGGTAACAGACAGTTTGGAGCTTTGGATGCCCAGGAAGGAGTGGGAGTTGGCATCCCAAGAGACAGTTGGGGGTTAGAGGACCAGGGAGGCAAATAACTTGACTTTGGGGGAGAGAGTTAAGTGCTTCATTCCTTTCTGTCCCTTCTCTCCCACCCTCCACAAATCTTTACAGAGACTAGATGTCCCACTGTATCCTGTTCCAGTACCTTCTACAATAGTCAATATCATTCCTCGTGAGAGAAGTACTGTAATAATCAGAAATGAAAGGGTTAACATGTCCATTTAACATGTCATCATTAGGCTCCAGTGCTAAAGCACTAATAACTATGGGGATGAATGGGGGTGGGGGGGCGCATCTCTCAGAGCGATTGCTTGATGCTGCCTGGTTACACTTTCTCTATGATGAAAGGCATTTTTAAACAGTAAGGCTTGAGAAAACATTACATGAGAATTTAGATCCTGTAGTATGATTATCCTTTTTTATTTACTGCAGTTTTCATTGCTATATAATTGCATACTGGGTTGTACCTTAGACTGAGCTTAGGATATTGTTTGTTTATTAAGTTCTATATCTTTCTCCTTTTTCTTTTCCCCTCCTTTCCCACCCCTGCCTGTTTCTTTCAGGATTATGCAGGCTGTTCTTGACTATGCATTTCCATATTTACATGTGAGAGAAGCATTTGGACAGAAAATTGGCCACTTCCAGGTGAGAGCAAAGGGAAAGAATTAAAGTGAGGGGAAAGAACTTAGAAGCAGTTTTTAACCAGGTGGTTTGTTAAATGACATCTGAGAAAATGGCTTTGTTAGGGGCTTACAGGAAAATACATGTTCTGGATTTGTGCTGAAGCTGTTCTGCTTCCGATGAGAATGTAACAGGAACTGGTTAGTTGGTATCTGTATCTGAGTTAGTATTGCGCACAAACTGGGCTTTGGAGTCCTAGAGCTCTGCTGAGTCTGACATATATGAACTTAAGAACCAAGAAAGTTGAGGCTGTCTTGTGCCGGCCAATCCAGCTTTTTTTGGTTGGTTCAATGTCCAATAGATAGCATGGGAGACCCAACAAAACCAATGCCATTTCCTCTATGCTTGAACCCAGAATATTGCCATTTTTTCCCCTTCATTCCTTTTTTCCCCCCTCAAGTTTAAGTTTTAATATTGAATACAAATCATACTGTTTTGTGTTTTGCTGCTGCGTGCAGCTCATGCAGGGTAAAATGGCAGATATGTATACACGATTGATGGCATGTCGGCAGTACGTGTATAACGTGGCTAGAGCCTGTGATCGAGGACACTTCAATGCAAAGGTCAGCTTACTTCCTCGTGGGCTCCTCATACCACTGGTTGTTCCTCTCCCTTTATTCTTGTTCATGTGAGGGAGTGGGGGGGTGTGTCTATCTTGTAGGTGTCCATGAATCAGTTTATAGAAGATATGAAATTCTTTGAATATCTTGTACTCTCAGGAGAAAGAAAACTTTGCTTTACAAGCAACAGATTTATTGGTATTCATAACCGCAGAATAGAAATCCAAACAAAATGTTCTGGCGACTGAAAGCAGCTACAGCAGTGACTAAAAGGCGTTGACACTTCTACAACTGTTACCATAACTGTATTTGGCTCAGAGAGACAAATAAGAGACAAGCAGTTGGAGAATAGTGTAATATATCCTAAGCCAAATCGCATCTCTCTTCCATGAGCATGATGCCAATTTGTGAAGGAGACCATAGTATCTCTGCTGCATTTTTTTGTGTCTTGATGTGGCCCATATACAAGCATTTCACCACGTTTCAGTGTCTCTGCACTAGAAGAAACAAATGTTTTTCCACCATTATATCCTGGGCTTGGAATCTTATGTCCTTGTAAAGGACTAGCTTATGCATGTTAGTAATTATATAAACTTGTTGAAAGGTAAATGTTTTTGGACCAATGCAGGTGAAATCTTTGACTGTCTTGTAAACTGTGTCCCTTCCTTAGGACTGTGCAGGAGTGATTCTCTATTCAGCAGAATGTGCTACACAGGTGGCTCTGGATGGAATTCAGTGTCTTGGTAAGAATATAGAAGATACCTTTTTTCCCTGCTTCTGTGAGAGAGAGCACAGCCATAGGTAGAAAGTGACATGTAGGACTCTGTAGTCATAGTCCTAATCACTCAACTGTAGGCAAGAAATTACTGACCTCTTCTTTTTGGTTGTAGGTGGAAATGGTTATATTAATGATTACCCTGTGGGTCGCTTTCTGCGTGATGCCAAGCTGTATGAGATAGGAGCAGGAACCAGTGAGGTGAGAAGACTCGTCATTGGCCGGGCCTTTAATGCCACCTTTAAGTAACACCCATCAGTAAAGAAAAACCTTCATCACCAAGAGGCCTTTGATCTTTGAGCTTGTGACGCACAGGCTTTCTCTGCGTTCATGATAATGGAATCATCACCTGTTGACTCCATGCTTTCTATTCTGTGAACAAATGCCTCTGGGTTTACCTGGGCTTTGAACCTGACAGAAGAACAGAACTAAAAGTGTATTCTTGTGACTAGTCTGGCTATTCATTCATCCTATTCAGAAGCCATCCTGATCTTAAAACATCTAAGGAGTTGCGACCTGAAGTTGGTGCCAGGGATATATTGCCATTGGAAAAGCATGGTTCTCGCTTAGTGAACAACTCCCATGAAATGAGAGGAAATCACTTATTTTGACAGACTGGTTGTGAGAGAATGGATGGGGGAGAAAGGAACTTCGTACTTTCAAAAATTTTGAGTGCCATGGAACAAAGTGTTTTTAAGGTTCTGCTGCTGGAAAGTGAAATATCCTGATGTGGTACTCTACTGATGTGTTAACCTGTGCCCTCCAGTTAATATCTTCTTTGGGAAACCAGATTTTAGCTGAGTTCATGTTAGTTACCACATGCCATTAATATCAAAAGAACAGAGCCACACAAGCAATGTTAGAAAAAAATGTTTCCTAAAACCTCATTAAAATGTCACATAAGTTTCTTTGCACACTGCTCTCCATGTTCCTCCTGCTTAGCAAAACATTGGAGTGTGGTCTGAAGGCTTTACTCCTTTTGATTGTTTACCTCCTGCTGCTGGTTTCACCATCCCTCATTTCAGGAACAGTTAAAATGTCCAACTTTTCACCATGGCACCTCATGAATGAATCGTGGGGGACTAAATGGACTTTTTATTTGAAGGCTTGCTCTTCTGTTGGCAAATACATGTGCTTGTCCCCCCAGTTTAGCCATAAAGAGAAAGAAAGCAGAGTCGGCATGAGTGTGGCAGGATTTAAAGGTGTTTTAATGAAACATTACAAACAGCAGAGCTTATATGTTGAAAGCTTTTGTGGCTTTTCCTGTTGCAGTGTACCAGTAATTCAACTTCAAAGAACAAATTGCAGGAAAAAATTAAATGTTACATGTATAATAGAGGGGTGAAACAGCTGCCATCTTGGCAGTCTCATACACAAGACTGCAAGTAGCTTTATTTTCCTGTTTATATTTGGCATCTTTCACCAAAAGCCTTGCTTCTCCCATATTTTCTGGACCATCACCAATACAACACTCCTTCCCTCCCTCGTACAGAACAATAGAGAATTTTAAAAAAGCTTCAGGTTCAGTGACCCAGCAAGGTAAAAGACAAAGTCCTGGATCTAATGAAAGCTCATGTTAGCACAGTTACCTAACAAATAAGTGAATCAGGAGACAAGTCATTCATATATGCGCACAAAAAATTGAAGTACTCCTGGATCAAGGGGGAGGCAGCTTTCAGTGTGTGGGTGTTGCCCCTACAGTGCCCTCTCTGTAGGGGCAGACAGGAATTTGAGGACTGCCTTGTCAGACAATTGAGGTGATTTTTACCATCTGCAAAAAGTACCAAGGTGATATTGGAGACATCCAGGACCCAACACACAAAGGGCTTTGTTACTCAAGACTTAGCCCCCTGCATTGCACCTGAAAATGATTTGGAAATTAAGAGGCTCTTAGAACATAAGTAAAATCTGCTTCATGTGTGAAGCACCATGTGCATTGATGTTTTGAATGTATGAAAAAAGAAATGTGTGTTCTTGTTTCCTGAAGTGACTTAGCCACGTACTTTTTACTTCAAAATAATATTCATTCTGTGTCCAGCATAAGGTTGGTGTTGATGGTGTTAGAGCAGGGGTGGGCAAACTGCGGCCCACAGGCGGCCTGCCAGGACATTCCATCTGGCCTGCGGGGCTCCTAAAAAATTTAGAAAATTAATATTAAGCTGCCCCTTGGCTGCCTGTCATGCGGCCCTCAATGGCTTGCCAAAACTCTGTAAGTGGCCCTCCGCTCAAAATAATTGCCCGCCCCTGTGTTAGAGAAATTGTGCATTACCAGTAATCTGCGAGACCCTCCCAGAAAGCATGCCACTTCCATGAGTCTCACAGAGGCAGACTAAGAAACTTGCTCCAGGATGCACAGAAGAAGGACAAGGGAAAAGAATGCAACATTTAGGACTGGGCTGGCTCTCCTCCCCCAGAATATCTTATGAACGCTGTCCTGTCTCAGCCATTCAAATAGCAAAAAGGCAGTTTTCAAATCTGCCCAAGGGACTGGGTTGCCAGACTCCCATTACAATGAATAGCATCCTTTCTGCAGCTTTAAAAACCTCAGCCCTAGTCCTGCGATATATCAGTAAAATGGCCAGTCTCTTGGGGAGAGCCTGTAGCAGCACTTGCAGTGACAAAGATACGGAGACTGTGTGCAGTATTTTAAAGTATCATTGGCAACCCATTTTTCACTGATCTTCTTTAACTCTTTACTATGGGAATAAATCACTACAGTTTTCCTTGAAGACTTAAAATATAATAATTTTAAAATGTTGGTACTGAATCATAACATTACAGTCTGTCTCAGGCCAGCAGAACCTTACTGAAACAATTATCAAAGCACCTGCAATCTTAAGAGGCTTCATGTTTGAAATCAGAATGGGACTGGCTTTTAAACCTGCCCTCTCACCTTGGAGGGACATGGCTTTAATACAAATGATTAAGCATATCATACTTTCTGGGCTAATCAGCATCTCAAAGTTAAGACAAATTGGATTAATGTTGAATGCACCATGGGGCAGGCTTGGCAGAGAGCTCCATAAATCCTAGGAAAGGTTATGTTTATCAGATCCCAAGCACTTTTGTGGTATGGCTGAGGTGAATATCAAGTGATCTGTCTTGTGACTGGCATTGATTAGCTGGGCAGTTTTTGTACGGTGGTGTATAACAAGGAAGCTCCAGTGTTGTGGGGGAGGGTCTGTGATGATTAGAGTTTCCGTTTTCTAACATACGTACAATGCTAATAAAGAACTGTTGTTGCTCAGCTTGCATGCATTTGCCTTGGATTTTGCCCAGCAGGGGGCATTTAGAGACTTTGTATGGTCTGAACTGCGAAATAACAGAACTGGACTCCTCCCAACACACACATCCTGTGCGGTTAGAGCTGGTGGGATGAATGGGGACGGATGTTGCCTTTTGTTGCCCTCCCTTCCCCTTCTCAACGAACCACTTTTTTTCCCCCCTTCCCTCTAATTGTTTTAAAAAAGCTGGTGGTAGATCTGGCAGGTGCAGAAGCCTCTCTCAGACTGTGTAGCTGGTAGGAGAATGTACAAGGGCACCGTGCCCCTGGCTATGTAATTTCTCATTTCTGTTGTGCTTAAATTGTAATGGAAATCATTCTAGCCTGATAAGAGGTAGTCAGTTGATTGCAATGCAGGATTACTGAAATATGCTGCACCTTACCTAGTTCCGTAGATGTCTCCTTGTGGCAGCTTGCTGGTCATTCAGTTACTGGGGCTGGGAGGAAGACATTTGGAGAATTCAGGAAACTACTTCACTAAATAAACAAACATCCAGTTTTATTTTACCATTGTATGAAGAACGTGGGGACTTTGAATGTATGGTCTTCAGACACAAACTCCTCCCTGATTGCGAGTGGCTGTGTCCCACCTGGGAAAGTGAGATCTGTGCAGCACCTGCAACCTAGAAAGTTTTCATAGTTGTTGGGGCTGGAAGAGACCTTGCCAGTCATCGGGTCCAGCCCCCCCCACACATGGGCAGGAAAGACTGCTGGGGTCCGATGAGCCCAACAAGATGGGCGTTGAGATGTTTTTTGAAGATCGCCAGGGTAGACGACTGTACCACTTCTGGGAGAAGCCTGTTCCAAATCCTCGGCACTTGGCTTGTAAAGAAGTTTTTTCTTTGTCTAACCTGAAGCAATCATCAATCAGCTTGTGCCCATTATTTCTTGTCCTCCCCTGGGGGATCTTGGTGACTAGATGCTCCCCCAAACCCTGATGTATGCCCCCAATATACTTTTATAGGCAGCAACCAAGATCCGTCTGAGTCTTGTCTTCTCCAGGCTGGACAAGCCCAAGTCCCTCAGCCTGTCGCACATCTTTTCCTGGAATTACATCAGTAATTCTTACTGGTTGTATCTAAGGTATCTGTCCCTGTAGGCTCTGGGCATAGGTTCATATATTTTGAAGGACAGCAATTTCCTCAGGAAAGTAAAACCAAGTTCCCACCACTTTCCCTCACTCTGTGAAGCCACCTGCTTATGAGGAACCCAGCCTGGGTGACTACTTTCTAAGAATATGCAGTCAAGGCTGTGTTGCATCTCAGTTCCCCATACGAAAAGACAGATAAACCAAAGAAGTCCTGGCATTATATTTTAAATACAATAGTTCAGGTGTAGTCTGATCTCTTGCCAGTGGTGAATTTTGCCACTGAGGGCAGTTACAGTCGTTACAACTGAGCTGTGATAATTGTGTAAGGGCATTGTCTATACAAGGGAACTTGTTGGCACAACCACAATTGAGCTTCCTTTGCACTGAAACAGAAATCAATGTTTTTACAATCCTTATAACCCTCAGTGGTTAATGGCTTTGTTTATCTCTTTAACTTACCACTGCCTTTCAAAAATGTGTACCCCCCTCTTTCTTTAACCACTGTATTTAACTGGCTGTATTCATTTCTATTTAGTAACTCCTGATTTCTGCAAGTCCATTCATAGCATCTGACAAAGTAGGCTGTAGCCTACAAAAGCTCATGCATCTGAACAAGGTGGCATATAGGTACCACCCTGCTCTGCCTGCCTAGTACGGCTAGCTAATCCTCTGCTCTGAGTTCTCCATGGACTAAGCTTATGGATCTGAAGCTGGTCCTGCTGAAAGCCAGGCATGTGCAGGGTTTAAGTCACTGGAGTTATGCCAGAATAGCATAGCTACATCTTTTAGCTCTATTGTGATTGTTTTCTAGGATACAGCCACAGCAGACCACGTAGGGGGTTATTTGATGTAGAAATCCAAATCAAAGAGCATAAAGAAACGTCCTTCCACTTACTGGGAGGAGAGGGGGAATAGGTGAATAAAATATGAGTGGGTTAGGCTGTTAGGGCCTCCTGTGGGGTCCCTGCTGCAGTTTTCAGGTTAATCTATCAAAGGGTTCTCACAGTACAGGGTTAACAGTACCTTAGCTTCTCCCATGTTCCTTGTACAAAACCACCTTTAAATCAAAATCACTTGTTTCAGGGGACGGCCAGTTCCAGGAAGAAGGTTGTTTTCAGTCCAATCTACAGTGTAAAGCTATTGCTGATGGGATGGGTTGCAATATGGATCATTCACACCTTGTGCACAAGAGTGTCAGCAAAGTATGCCACAGCTGTAGTGTGGTTTGGGGCTGCAATTAAAACAGGTCCCACTATATTGTCAAGATCCAACTGTATCTAGAGGAGCATTTCAGGGATCTGTGCTATTGGAAATGCAAGAAGATAGTCAGGACCCCTGTCATTGGGCTGGAGTGTCCATGCAGAAGCCTACATAGCTGTCCCCTTTAGAAAGCTGCCATACGGTTCCCTTTCCTATCAAATGAATAGGCAGCCAGGAAGTTGTGTGTGGTGAGGGGGATCAGCCAAAGGCAAGTTTGGGCAGCAGGAACAGGCTTTTGGAAAAAGCATTTGCCTTGCAGAGTCCTGGTGGAGCAGAACTTCAGGGTTCTGCCGTTCAAGTGTCTTCTTCACACGAGACCCTAGAGGTGCGCAGGAGAGGACTGCCTGAGGCTCCATCTCAGGAGCTCCACCCCTGGGGAGTTGGGTCAGCAAGCTGGCCGGCGCTTCCCCGTAGGCTGCTGAATCCTGCAGCTGGTGCTGCCTCTGCTCTATAGAATTCCTAATCTGCAGACTTCCTGTGACTGTATCCCGTCTCACTTTTAATAGCTGCCTGCAGCCCAGCTGTGCTCTGACTCCGCCTGCTTGCTCACACACGCTCGTTTGGGCACTGCTGCTTGGTCCCCTGGGGAAGGAGGAGTTCACTTGTGGCAGTAGGTTGCGTGCGCGTGGTGGGGGCAGTGGTTTCTAAGCTGCTAGGCTGAGCTGCAAAGGGAGGGTGGCTTGCGGTGGTGTGTGGGGAGGGCTGTCTCTCATGTGCTGAGCTTCGGTGCATTATTCAAATGTAATGTGACACATAATGAAAGTGTCATTGATACCAGTTTTCACAGCATGAAGAGGACCTTCTGGGAAAGGATTCTGGCTGAGAGCTTGATCATTAGATGCTTGCCAAGCAACTGCTTATTAGCACAAATAGTTCTACGACCAGTCTGTGTGAAGTCCGTGGTAGGTTATAGGGCCAGGTACTACACTGAGTACTGCTGGAAGGAGCAAGTCCTGAATACAGGGGTAGGTAACCCCCAGCACGGGCACCAATGGGGCACATGAAGGCATTTCGTTTGGCACATGTGCCTCAGGGCAAACGGAAGGGAAGGGGTCAGGGCTGTACTGCCATAACAAGGATTGGGCCACTCCTGGCTCCCCCACTATCTGCCCCTGCAACATCTTACAAGTTGAGGTGGTGGGTGTTTTTGGCACTTTGCCCAAAAACGCTGCTGACCTCTGCCTTAGTATGTATGGTCTAAGGTTCTGCCTCCTTCCAGCCTCCGTAGATTTTGACTTCAGCTTCCTTTAAGGGCCTTACTGGTGTTGGAAAGATTGAGTGTGGGCAAACAACTGGTACGCAACAGCAGGCCCCAGAGCTCTCTCTTTCTTT